GCCCACCTTGTCCATGCAGGTAAATCACTGGGAGCCTCCAGTGGGTCCTCCCACCTGACCTTGCATTTTCACGAGCCTCCTGCAACCCCTGATCTGAGCCCATCTTCCAATCCCAACTCCCACGTCACCATCTTCAGGAAGGCTTCCTTGACAACAACTCTCTCCCTTTGTTCCCACTGTGCCAGAGGCCTTCCATTCCCTTCTCCAGCTCCCCCTCCCCCTGGGAACTGGCCCCGGGGAGTCCTGGTGGCAGGAGGGAGGAGGGTAATCTAAGGGGCTGCTGGTGCTCCTCAGATCCTCTCCCCTCCGAAAGGCCACAGCTCCTCTCAAGGGGGTCTGCACTGTCTGGGTTCCAGTCACCTCTCCCTCCTCTGGCCTGTTCAGACCCAGGGTGGGCACAGCCTGCCAGCAGCAGCCTCTGTGGTTTCCCTGCTCCCTGCCCGCATGTCTGTAAACAGGCTGGATAGCAGACTCTCTTTTGATTATCCCAACGCGAGTGTGTGGAGACCAGTGCCTGTCCTAGCTGATGGCATGGTGCCCTGTCCCTTTGATCATAGCAGTGGCCTGTCCTCCACTGAGCCATAAAAGGCTCAGTATCTGTGCAGCCCAGCACAGGACAAGGCCTAGAGGAGGCCTCCATGAAAAACTGATTATCTTCAAGCCGTGCCCATCACTTACTCAGGTGGGTCTCTTTCTCTCCATACATACCACATCTGGTGGCCCCACTCACCTCCGAGGAAGACAAGAATGTTTCTTCCTATGAGCACAGGAGGGGACCCCACGACAGCTCATGGCCCTGACAGCAGTTAGTGGACAACAGCGACTGTCCTGAGCCAAGCCATTTTTACATGATAGGACAATCGACCCCCCTATTTTAAATTCTATGTTGTATTTACTGTAGTTTGATGAAACTGAGCAAGTAACATGTAGATTTTCATCTATTTGGATTTGGGCGGAAAAATCTTTTTGGTCTTAAAATACACTGACACAATGGGACATGTTAGTCTAGAAATGTTTCTCACAGAGTCTACTCCAATACACACACTTCTCGTAGGATGCCAGCAGGGTCAGAGTTCTGAGTGGGCCAGGAGTCAGGAGGACCAGCCTTTGGCATTCCCTGGATGACCTGGCTCAATTAGGTGACTATCCCAAGATTTAACATTCTTACCTGTAAAATAACAAAGGTGGCTGCCAGGGAATAGCCGGGAGCCAGTGCACCTATGAACAATAACTAGAAAAATACTTGAGACTACAAATCCTCCCCACCATCTTGAGGCACCTTGATGCCATCCTTCGGGGCAGGGTGAGGTGGCTGGGCTGTTCACTGCTAGCGGGTGGTCCTGGTTGAGAAAAGGGAGTCACCCATTAGCAGCAGCCTGGCCAGCAGAAGAGAGTGGGGACAGGAGGCAGACTGTCCCTTCCACCCTGGCTCTGTCTCCCCGTCACTAAATTCCCTACCCGGAGAAGACTTAAAACCTGAGTGGAGAATTTAAGTCTTTCTACATCACGTTCCTCCTCCATGAACTCTGATCTCTGTTGCTTCCTCAGCCTCAACCCCCAAAACAAACCAATTAAGCAAACACAAATGTTCTGCACAGCTTTTAAGTTGCCCAATAAAAAAACAAATTATGAATCTCAACCACGGACCAGTAATCAGCCATCACATGACAAATACAGTGCTTTGCTATCATTTCTCAATAGTTTTATGTTATCAGGCAGTTTCTTTTCCCCAAATGGGTGATGTCCACCGCTAACAGAAACTACCCAGGGTGCAGGGGGAGAGCCTGAGAGGGGACACCACTTCTGAAAGGTGGGCTTTTGTGACATTCTCGAGCAGCAGCTTTCAAAATGAGATCAAGATCTCTAGAAAGCACTACATTTTACAGTGTGCCCCATAACTATGTTTATATTCTCTAGATTTATACATATAATTTTCAATCCATCACAAAATAATATTTAACTTTACTATGAGCCACGTGCCACAGCATTTTCTATCCTATTAGTTTGCTTTCTATTCTATTTTGTTGCCCAACTAGCTGGTCGCCACTCACTAAACTGATTCCACAATCGTGATCTACAGTTTGAGAAACAGTGGCTTAGAGGAGACTGAAGGCTGGCTGCACCAAAGTTTTTTGTTTTCATTCTTTAATATTATTTTTAATGGACAAATCATAATTGTATACATTTATGGGGTACGATGTGATGTTGATATATGTATACAATATGGAATGGTTGAGTCTAGCTAATTAACATCTCTATCAACTTGCTTACCTATGATTTTTTTTTAAAAAGATGACCGGTAAGTGGATCTCAACCCTTGGCTTGGTGTTGTCAGCACCATGCTCAGCCATTGAGCCAACCGGCCATCCTGATATAGGATCCAAACCCAGGGCCATGGTGTTATCAGCATCACACTCTCCCAAGTGAGCCACGGGCCGGCCCTATCTATGATTTTTTATGGTGGGCCATTTGAAATTTCCTCTTAGTTATTTTAAAATATACACTTTTGTTGGTTATAGTCACCCTGCTGTACAAGAGATCTCAAAACTTATTCCTCCTGTTTATCTGAAATGTTGTATAACATCTCCCCATCCCCCAGCCCCTCCAGCCTCTGGTAACCACATTCTACTCTCTACTTTTATGAGTTCAACTTTTTTAGGTTCCACATATGAGAGATTCTGCAGTATTTGTGTTTTTGTGTCTGGCTTATTTCACTTAACATAATGTCCTACAGGCTCATTCACGTTGTTGATAATGACGGAATTTCCTTATTTTTAAACGCTGAATAGTATCTCATTGTGTATACCTACCACATTTTCTTTATCTACTCATCCACTGATGGACACTTAGGTTGATTCCATATCTTGGCTACTGTAAATAATGCTACAATGAACACGGGGATACAGATGCCCCTTTGACATATCGATTTCAATTCTTTTGGATATATATCCAGATAGGGGGTTACTAGATCATATGATAGTTCTATTTTTAGTTTTTGAGGAATCTCCATACCATTTTCCATATTGGCTGTACTAATTCACATTCCCATCAACAATGTAAGATTGTTCCCTTTTCTCCGCATGCTCGTCAACACTTGTCACAAAAGTTCTTTTTAAAGTGCACAGTATAGCAAACTGGTTAATTATAGACATGCAAAATGACAGATACATAAGATGTGTCTATGCCTTTTAAAAAGAGGTGTGGTTTAATAAAAATAAGATAAACTAATGAAAATTAGTGGTCAAATATATCACCACCGAAGTCACTAGGAATTATGTCAACCGGTAAAATGACATGGATAAGAATGAATGGGTGAAGGTATTAGCACGTCACCTACCCATCAAAGTCTTTTAGGGAAAGAAATGCTACAAAGGACAGAGGGATTTAAAACAAATACCAAATGTGACGCATCAGATTGAAATATTACAATTTTTAAGTCAGATTTCCTGAGAAAAACAACCTACTTAGTGCCCAAGCAGAAATAGTTGAAAACAAAGATGACACACGGCAGAAGAGGGGACGCAGACGCGAGCACCGTGGTGCGTCAAGGTGTGGCAGTTGGTGTGGTTTCTGCTGTGGTTACATCTTGGGGTGGGGGGTGGAGAGCTTTTAGGCTGTGGGTTCCGGGTGGAGGAGGGGGCCGCACATCTGCCATCCCATCCACAGACCCAGCAGTGTCTTCAGACTGTGATGCCCCCAGGTGGAGGGAATTAATACTAGAGCTACCGCTTTTCAAAGTGAAATTTTCAATAATTACCATACCTTAGAACTGGCTCATTCTGTACACATGTAGTCACATTTCAGCAACTGGGAGAAGTGGGTTAAGTGATCTGGCGGTGTCCACCAGGATTAGATATGGCAATAAGTCAGCCAGAGACTGACATTTTAGCCTTTGTGCACAAATTTTGTGCTTATGATCCAAATGGATTCTGACCACCAGGGCTAGGTAGCTAAGCTCTCAAGGCCTTAGGCTACTACACAACCCAGAGCAAAGTGTTAAGAGCCACTCCACACAGTGTCCTGAGAGCAGGGGACCCAGTAGCAACCTTAAAGCCTAAGGGCAAGTGTGAGGGGGCAGAGGGATGATGAATACCAGCTCCCCACACACAACAGGAGCTTGGGAGGAGGGGGTGCTGCTCAGAGGCACCCTCTTCTCACCAGTGCCCACCAAGGTGGTATGTTAGTACAGCAGGGGACTTTTATTGCTGGACTAGGGCAATCTGAGAGACACTGCTGCTGGTGGGCACATGGGTTTTCTGTGGGAGACGGGAAGAACCTTCAGAACAGGAAAAAGTGGTTCACACTCTAGCCTGGTACACAGAGGAGGCCATGGCTAGGAGCAATCTCTACGGCTGCTTCACCGTCCCATGACTTATGGCCGTGCTATTTCTTTCTCTCAGGTGTTCTGCATGGGGGGTGGGGGTGGGGCTGGTAAAAAGAGTACATGTGGTGGATCATTCTCATTTTCTTCTGACAAGAGCCAGGTGGGAAGTGCACCTCGGGTGACTGCCTGCTCAAATGTGTCTGTCTCTGCATAGGTACGCCCAGCATTGTAAGGTGTGACAAGAACCAGTACACCTGTGTGGAAATGTGCGCCTTCTGACCCAGGCCTTCCTAAGGGGCTCTGGAAGAAACAAAGGACTCTGGCACAAGTAAAAGTGATGGGATATACCTCCACCAAGCTCCACAAGAAAATGTCCCACGTGTCCCATCTTTTATAAGCTGACTCTTTTCCAAACTTTCTTAGAAAAAGGCATGGCATTGCCTAGACTTCCCAAGAATGAAGGAAAGAAGTTGCAACTGGAAGGACTGTTCAGCGAGCACTTGCCTTGGGTAGTGACCTGATGCAAGTAGCTCATCACACGGGTCCACGCAGCAGCAAAGAGGCCAAGCACCTTCTAAAACCTGCCCCACTTTGCAAAGCTGGTCTTAATGGACTAGCAAAATCAGGTGAGAGCTGACCGAATGCATGCAGATGGAGGAGCCAAGCAGGGACTTACTTTGCAGTAGTTTCTTCATCATATTTGGTTTTCAGGTCGAATAATTCTGTTCGAGTTTTTTCCAGGGCTGAAAAGCAGAGGACATAGAACTGTGATATAAGATACTAATTGTTTAAATTAAATTTAAAAAGGAAAAGTATACAAGTAATGTATTCGCATTCAAAAGAGGCAAAAGGGCCTTGGCTCACTTGGGAGAGTGCGGTGCTGACAAAACCAAGTCAAGGGTTAAGATCCCCTTACTGGTCATCTTTTTTTAAAAAACAAACAAACAAACAAAAAAACCCCAAAAGAGGCAAAGATGACAAAATTACAAAAAATGGAACAGAAAACCCCCAAGCCCCCTTTCATCTCTACCTCATCTCTCCCAAGCACCTCCTAAGAGAGGACCACTGTTAACAGTTTGGTGTATAGATTTCATGTTTTTAAATAGATTTTATAATTAAAAAAAATATTTCCATGCATAATTGCATATATATATATTTTTCTCCGCCTATAAATGGTATGATATTTTTAAAGACTCATCCTTTTTCCCTGGCAGTCTGGCATAGCAATCTCTCTTGTCAGTATATAGGCAATAAAGTAACAATTAGCTCTAGTAACAGGATATCTAGAAATGAAGCTCTGGGGTAAAGAGCTTAGACCGTTCAAATTTTACAAACACCATCCACCCAGTTGGTCTACTGAGAGGCAATTTACATTCCCATCCATACCACGAGTGACTACTTTCCTATACCTTCACCGACACTGGATATTATCAATTAAAAAAATTTTGTTTTCAGTCTGATAGGATAGGCAAAACAATCTTTCACTAATTTAATTTGCACTTCCCTGACTGTTAAAAAATAGCTGGCATTTTCTCAAATGCATATCGGCCATTTGCATTTTTTCTATGATTCCTGTTCAAATCCTTTGCCCATTGTTCTACTGGACTGTTTCAATATTTCTATGGATTTGTAGGCAGTCTCTACATTTTTTGGATATTATTCATTTGTCTGTTAAATTTGTTGTGATTATTTTCTCCCACTCTGTTATTTCTGTTTTAACTTGGATTATAATGTTATAACGTCTTCAAATGTTTTTTCCACACTTAAATATACAGTGCTGCTTCCCTTTCAGGAAGAAAAGAGAAGTTCAAAGAAACTATAAAAACTTTAGCATAACCTTTTTTGGTATCTTTTAAATTTTAAAGGTCTGCTATTACTGTTCTCCTTAACTTCACTCAGGGTAGAAATAAGTTCTTTTTCCTATTATTGTTCTGAATGAACTGTCAGTCCTGACAGTTGGGTGATTTAGATGTGTTTGTTGGAAAAAGAGCAGGAAGAAAGGGTGGCTTGTGGAAGGGATGACAATGGAATTCAGGTCCTCCCACCTCCACGTTCACAACTCAATGTCGGTGACTAATGGGGGAAGCAGCTCATGGGGCTCTCTGAGGCATCTTGGGCGTGGACTTGCTTCAGCTCCCACAGGCTCCCCAGGAGCGAAAGGTGTCAAAGGGGACCTGGCCAGGTCAGGAGACTGACCAGTCTCCCACTTTGGCATTCCCTGTGTCAACTCCACCAGGAAGGAGAGTGTCAAACCTGTTTGCAGAGTTTGAACCTTATGTTCGGCCTCCTGCAGCTTCGAGGTGGTAGACATCTGGGTCTCTTGCAGCTTTCTGAAAAGATAGAGAAATGCAGCCATGTTGGTCACCTTGTTTACCAACTAAAACACACTGTGTGCCTCTGAGCTGGAAGGCACAGCTAGCTGGCAGCAAGCTCACGGTTGGTTGTGGCTCCCGATGCCACATGGACAGTGGGGCCTGCTCCCGGATCTTCCACACCCCAACACTGTAACCACACATTATGTAATGTGAAGTCTGCACCCCATACGACATGACATGTGGTAATTGGTGTAGAAGGTTAGCCTAAATGTAACTTGTTCTTGAAATGGCAGATATTAAAGAGGAAAAAAATATTATCATCATGCACTCATTGTTTCCTGAAGTTAGCACAAGAAGAACGATACATTTCCATTTTGCTGACACAATGAAGGAATCTGCTGGAAGAAAGGATGTATTAAATGGACGTGACAGCTGCTCCAGCTCCGTTACAATGGAATGCAGATGCAGCTGCAATACCTAATGGGGAAATGCGGGTTGTTTCAAACTGCATTCCACATATTTACATTTCCCATGATCTCTAAATGAATTCCCCGGTCAATAAATAGCATTCCCTCTTCCTAATCTGCAGAAAATCTCTAAAAATAAGCTTATTATTTTTACATCATAAGAATATAACACATGCTCTTATAATAATAAAACTGAGAATACAGAAGAGTAGAAATGATGCAGTTAAAAAGAACCACCCGAATGTCCATTACCTATAGAAAAGCACTGCTAATACTTTCATGTATTTCAACAATAAAACTAATAGATGCTCAGAATTTTTAAAAAATCAAATATTACAAAAACATGGATAGTATGTCCTTTCTCTTCCTTGCCTCCATTTCCACTGCTCAGAGAGAGTTCTTTTGTATCTTTCTAAAATGTTTCTGCATGTACAGAAATGTAATATGTAACATACTATAGTTAAATATAAACTAACATGTAACATACCACCATGTAATATAAACTAATATGTAATATACTATGGTGAATCACAAACTCCCTGCCCCTTTCTTTTAATACTAAGGGGATCACAGCACACGCTACTCTTCAGCTTTTCCACTTACCTCCATATTTTGGAAACGTTCTACTCTAACATCTACATAGCTCTTCCTCATTCCTATTAAATAGTCAAACTTAACCAAGCCTTTATTGACACTTAGATTATTTATTGTTTCTTTCCTAAACATTTCCTCAATGATCATTATTTAGATATTGTTATATAATTTTGAGAGTGAATCTGTTGGATAACATTGTAATGGAGGAATGACAATGGTCCAAAGGTGTGAGCAATTCTTTTGTTTTGATCGATATTGAAGAACTTCCCAATAAAAATCTCACCAATTTAAACTCCTTCCAACAATATGTAAGGGTATGTTTGTGCAGCCTACCAACACTAGATAAAATCAAACTTAATTTTTTACTGCGCAGTAAAGCTAAGCATTTCTCTTTGTACTTGCTTATCTCCTCTGTCCATTTTTTTTATAGAGTTGATTTTTTTTTTCCTTTTTGTCTTTTTTACTGACCGGTAACGGGATCGCAACCCTCGGTGTCGCGCCCGCACTGCACTCAGCCAGTGAGCGGGAACCGGTCTCCACGTGGGATCCGAACCCTCGGCGAGAGCGCTGCCGCGCTCCCAAGCGGCGCACTTCTCCAGTGCGCCACCGGGCCGGCCCTAGAGTTGATTTTTTTTTCTTATTAATTTGTAAGAGCTCTTTGTATATAAAGAAAATTAGCCCTTTGTGGTACAAATATTTCATATTAGTTGGTTGATGCTTTTAAAACTTTTTTGTTGTTTTAAAAATCTGCTTTAAATTTTAGATAGTCATATTTACTTAACTTTTCTTGTATACTCAGATTTCACCACGCCAAAATTATTAAAAACAAAGTGCCCAGGTTTTCTTCCAGTAAATATGTGATTTAATTACTAATATTTAAATCCCAGATCCATCTTGATATTTTTGTGTAAAGAATGAGGTAAAGATCTCACTTTATCCCTTCCCCCTAACAGTCAGTCACTCATTTCTTTTAGTATAATTAATCCTTTTACCTAATTTGAAAAGTCAACTTAATAATAATCAATTCCCACGAGTTAAACATCCACACTTTTGTAATGTATGAGTTTGCTGTAGACAGATGTAATCACGCTGTATATAATTTTGTATCATGCATTTCTGACTTCATATTATGCTGGAGACACTTCTCATGTTATTCAGAATTCTGTAACTGTTATCTTAATGGCTGCAGAATGTTCTAGTTAGGGATGGCCCATCTTGTACTCATCCATTTCTCCTTGACAGGGCATTTAAACAGCTTGCATTTCCCCTCTATTATCAACAACACAGTGGGAAATCTCTTTGGTCATAAAGTGCTTTTGTAAGAGGCATTTATGAATATTCAGGGCCAGTTCCACATCAGCTGGGGCAAGGGTCTGCCCATCTTTCAGGGCCCTGGCTCTGTGTTGCTCACTTCTTTCTTGGGGGAGTTGGGCTTGGCTCTGAGGGAGTGAGGACCTTTGGAGGCCATGTCTTAGCAGGAAGGAACACGAGGGCTGCACAGAAGGGTGGGTGCCAGGCTGGAGTCACACAGTCCTAACCTCTGGCCCCATTAGCTGCAAAAACCTGCACAGGTACCTAACCTGTGGCATGGTTTCTCCCTCTGTAAAATGAGATGTTCTGTGCTGCAGACCCATCTTTGACACCCAGTGAGAGAATATACTGAGAGTGCCTGGCAAGCATCTGAAGCAGAGTGGGCACTAGTGAGTGGGAGCTGGCCCTTTTCCTCTTTTTAAATGAACCCAGCTTCATAGCACACCCAAGAGGCCTTCGTGAGACACGCGGCATCTTTGTGGAGCCTGCGCTGGAGAAGTCTGAGGCATACAAAGTCAATGTGAAACAGCACAACAAAACCCCACACCACCCAGGATCAAGCCTGGCCCCTTACTGCAACCACAAATTTAGAGCCTCCTGCTAATGGCAACACACATTTCTTCAGGCTAGGATTAAAATTTAGTATCTTAATTTAACCAAAGAATTCAAAAAAAATCCAACTAACACAGTTGGAGTTGGTAAGCTGAATGATCCTTACAGTTTTTTTATAAGAAATCTAACTTTCATTAAATCGTCCCACTAGGGAAATACCAACTCATTATTTGTGGGAAAAGTTTTGGGTAAACTAAGCCATTAGAAATGTAAAGCTCACATCAGTTAGATGGTCCGTTAACATATTTTACTGATACCAACCCCCTAACATATGAAGCACTCCACAGGAACGAAAAGCAGCAAAACCAAACAGAAAAACTAAGGGTATGTGTGAGTGTGTGACGTTAAATATCAAAATTCATTTAAGAAGGCCAGAGGAGCTCAGCGTGCGCCCAGGGCTTCCCCCAGAGGACACACACTGGGAGATGGTCTTTCCTCTCTTGTCCTAGCTCAGGTACAGCTGCCAAGTGCCAACTTCTTATGTTAACGACACCTACCTGTGCTCAACCTCTGGACCCGTAGGGCTCCGACAGACATCCTCTGGCCTGACACGGGCCATTGATAAGGAAGGATTACACACTTCCCTCAAAGTCATCTCACAAATGAAGAATAAAGGAACACCTTCATTTTCAAACAAAATTTCGCTAGAGCCCTTAGGATTTCTGTTTACAACCTGACTTTATTTTACAGATAGCTTTTCTAAAATACCTTACAATGTGAAGTTCACAGGTAAAACACCTTGTCAGTGTGTGTGCACCTGAACACATGCTCACCTCTCCTTTTCTGCAAAGTCATTTTGTAACTTTTGTTCCTTTTCAAGAGCGATAGTCTCTGCTTGGTTCTTCAGAGTCTGTTCATATTCTCGGATTTTCTCTTTAAGTGCTTTTATCGTAACCTCTGCAGAATGAAAGAAAAAAAACTATGGTAAGAGAAGCCCAATTCCATGTGGCTATACACACGAGGCTATCGTAACTTAGCAGGATTGGTGTGTTTTAAATTTTAGCTCTTCAACTCTGACACAAAATCAATGGTTACGAGTCCCTTCAGAGACCTTCTACTCCCTAAATGTTAAATTGAACTTTAAACGTTTAGGTTGAGGAGGATCAATGGATTTTGCTGGGAAGAAGAGCTATGGTTTCTCTAGAACTTAAAAAAAAAAAAAAGAGGGAGGGAAAAAAATCAATGGTAAAATATAATATCATCTTATTGATGAGTCTTAAATTAGTCCTCTACTGAGAGAAGATTAATGAAGTTTTAGTGTGGGTTTTAAGTACTTTCTTGCAAAGGAAACAGTTCATAATTGTGTGCACATTTGGGAAGAAGCAGTCATGGCAGGGTCAGGTACATAGACCGCCCTGGGCATGGGCTGCAGCTCTGCAGTGTCACAAATGATGGGAAATGTGAGGTGCTAAGTGGATGGACTGCACGGGAAGGGGCCCACCCTGGAGCTTGGTTGCTGGGAGCACCCTCCCCCCAGGCCAGAGACCCTGGATAATGTGCACTGTGTGTACAGAGCAGATGGCGCAGGGCCTGGGGACAGCTGCTTGGGTGACTGGCGTGTGGCCTGGAAGTGCCTTGGAGTACAGCATGACAGGCAGGGGCGTGGACGGCAGCACTGGCCCAGGAAAGAGGCCCACAGTGCTCAGCACTTCAAGGCGAAGGGCCCCTGGGGAGGCAGGGCTGTCCCTGGAAAGCCCAGTCCCAGACTGCTCTTGGGAGTGCTCCCCCCCTGCCCCCCACTGCATGTTCAGCTGCCCAAACTGGGAACATCAAAGCAGACTTGATGAATGCAGCAGGGTTCTAACTCAGGCCCGTGGGTGGCTCCCGGCAGGATTGCTCTACCCCTGACCTCCTACAGACACCCCTACGCCACTCTGAGAGCCAGACGATCCATGGCAGGAGGACTGTGGCCCCAGCCCTGAGGAGAGTGGAGCTCTTGGGGGAGTTAGCTGCTACTGCGGGCCCATCTCTTACTAGGCAATGCTGGGTTTCTTTGTGTTCCCAGCCCCTGGCGCAGGCTGGTGCTCAGGAAAGGGCTGTGGCCCGAGTGAATGAAGAGGCCAGGGCTGGGCAGGCCAGGGCGCGGCCCAGACAGGGCTTGTGGCAACACCGCCCGCCAGGCGTACGTGCTGGTCAAGACAGGATTACATGGACTGGGAATCTAGTACCCACGTGGCTCAGTAGACACAGGCTACAGGGTCTCTCGTTCAGAGAAAAGACCGGCCCCAGAGGGCTCTCCTTAGAGAGATGGAATAGAAACTGACGACCCTGTCGGGGCATCTGCAAGAAGGATGGGTGCCTTCCTACCTTCTGGGGTGGTGGTTTGGGCCTGGAGGGAGTGCTTTGTGATAAAATGATCAGTGATATATGACTCTCACTCCATACCCACAGGGCCAAGTTAGGCAGAGAGCAGGATACTTCCAAAGTGGATCCTTGACAGGTCAAGCAGCTGCGTTGTTCTTCCAAGTTAACGGTCTATGTGACTGCATAAACAGACAGCTTTTTTGCCTTCAATGATTGGTTGGAAATATCTGTGTGGCACCTGTAACCGAAGACTCGTTCCAACAGGGCTTCCAGGTGTGATATATCTGTGCTTCTTCCAGGGAGTACGGGGTACTCCAGTGTGCTCCCGCTCTGTGCCTGACGAGGTCTCTTTGCCCCGCACACCCAGGACAGGTTGCTCACTGACTGGCTGAGCCCAAGCCAGGGGCCGACTCAGCCTGGAGTCTCTGGCCCTACTCTGGCACCCAGGCCTGCATCCAGGACATTCACTGGGTGTCTGCAGGTCCCCTAGACACGTGCAGGTAAGCAGGGGGCCCCACGTGCTAGGTGCTAATCAGCTGTGCCTGAGGCTCAATTTACTCATCTTTAATGGAGGGGGGTGGGTGTAGCACACGATAGAAATCCCTCTCCTGCTCTAACTTTTTGACCATCTATACTACGACTGTGATGATTAAAACAAGTGATGTGTACCCCCCACCATCCAAATTATGATCATTCTTTTTTTTTTTTCTTTTTTGTCTTTTTTCGTGACTGGTAACGGGATCACAACCCTCAGTGTCGCGCCCGTACCGCGACCGGCAACGGAATCGCAACCCTCGGTGTCGCACCCACACTGCGCTCAACCAGTGAGCGGACCGGTCTCTATATGGGATCTGAACCTTCGGCGGGAGCACCGCCACGCTCCCAAGCACCACACTCTACTGAGTGCGCCACCGGGCCGGCCCAAATTATGATCATTCTTTTTTTTTTTTCTTTTTTGTCTTTTTTCGTGACTGGTAACGGGATCACAACCCTCAGTGTCGCGCCCGTACCGCGACCGGCAACGGAATCGCAACCCTCGGTGTCGCACCCACACTGCGCTCAACCAGTGAGCGGACCGGTCTCTATATGGGATCTGAACCTTCGGCGGGAGCACCGCCACGCTCCCAAGCACCACACTCTACTGAGTGCGCCACCGGGCCGGCCCAAATTATGATCATTCTTTTTTTTTTTTCTTTTTTGTCGTTTTTCGTGACTGGTAACGGGATCACAACCCTCAGTGTCGCGCCCGTACCGCGACCGGCAACGGGATCGCAACCCTCGGTGTCG